CTCTACAGGGTATAAATTTGTCATGTGGCTCTTCTGCTAAGTGACATTTGCAGAGAGAGGCATGTATTATAGTGCTTATTAGGAGAGAAGGATTTGGAGTCAGATCAATTTGGTTTCAAATCTTCTCTGCCACAGATCTTCTATGCGACCTTGGGCAAGTTAATTAACACCTATGGGACTCAGTAAAATGGGGGAATAATAGCACTACTCAAGTAACAGAAGTTATGACAATCATATAAGTTTCTATAAAAAGCCTTATACATTTCCCAACACATTGTAGATACTCAACAAAAGGCTATTATTTTATTGCTTTATTATCAGATTCCTTGCATTAAAATCTTTGATTTCTCTGTGCCATTTTTCTATCTTGACAGCAATGTTTCTTTATCATAATAAGCCAGACGATGGCATTCATCCATTTCATTGAGAAAACAAAGGAAATCATTACATAGGGAAAGTTCCATCCAGTGTTCTACTGGTTTCTCTTTCCAAGTACATAAAAAATGGTTTTCACTTCGCAATGAACTCCAAGATAATTTCCTGCATGGTGAAGGAACTGTTTTTTCAACTATAGAATACTGTTCTGACAATATCAACTGCAGGGCTAATTACACTTTATTTGTTTAGCCCAAGGAAACCAAATATGATTAGCCTTCCTTGGGTCTGAGAAGGGAGTTAAGTTTGCTACCAGTTGCTCTTTTAAACTCTCCTAGTCTGTTACAAAATAGTCTTTCATATTCAAATCCTGAATCCTTCTCAATGCCTCAGTTAATTCTTCAGCTGTTATTGCAGTGTTTTTCTGCGAAACCCTCATACTACCACAGAATTTACATGGGAAATTCTCCCAGATTTAAAAACACAACTCACTTTTGCCAATGACCCTACGCTTAGCCTTTTGGGATGATGACCTCAGGCTTTCTCCGCCTGGCTATAATCACTTTGAATGCTGTTTCTACTGTGGTCTATGGCATTTGGCTGAAATAGTGTTGCCCATCAACAATAATGAAGAGAAGGAAACAAATTTATCGGTTACTTTAGTACAGAAAAAACTCAGTCTATGGCCATACCACCCTGAATGCGCCCGATCTCGTCTGATCTCGGAAGGTAAGCAGTGTTGGGCCTAGTTTGTACTTGGGTGGGAGAAAAAACTCAGTTTCTCTAAGGAGTTCCCATGTTTGTGGATACTTAGAATTTCAAGTGGCAAAACATTCAAACATCCATGAACAGTAAGAAAGATAATGAGAACATTTCTAATCTATGAGACTTGTTTACTGGAACAGACTATATATTATGTCGTATTACAGTTTAAACTTCTGCATGACTAAACTCTGTATAAAGCATCTGCCTCACATCAGGTAGTACCTGTTGAGTTTAACCATTTAATTCTGTAGGTTGTTATCACCTGAAGCTGTAAATTAGCCAAGTCATGAAAAATCAATCTCTTTTTCAGCATTGGAGAGAGGAGTGTTTTAGTTCATTTTCACTGTTTTACTGTTTTGTATTTTAGCATAGGTATAGGTCCTGAATTTTCCTCTAAATTTTATGCAACAACTGAAAGAATAGGGTACAAATGCTCAAGAAATGCAACTGAACTCACAAGAGATTAATCCCTTTCCGTGTGATGAATTAAATTCTTGTGTGAGTTGTCAAAGCCAATGTCTTTAGAGCCTCTGAACACTGTTAACCAAGTTTTTACCATGTTTGTTATATCACTAAAAGTGGTCGATAAATTAAGAGCAGTATCAACATTCTTCTGTAGAAACTTCTGTTTAATATCATCAATTTTGCAACAATAGGGACTCAGTTTTCAGAATGTGAAATGTTTTAGAGTATAATCAGCTAAGGAAAAGTGCTTTTGAGGGGATATTTCTCAATGAACACATTATACAATTCAATTCAAGCTCTGTATCTTTTACATTCAACCACAAAAGCAAATTATAAATTGATAGGCATAATTGGGTCTCACTGGTGTCATAAAAATGTTACAAATGAGAAATCAAATTAAGTTATAATATTAAGTATTCATCATAGTGGAAGAATTACAAATGTTTGAAAGCCTCAGATCTAGTCCCCAGCAGTTAAAACTAATAGAAATGCAACAGTATTCTGACATCTTGAATTTAGCAATCTGTTCATCCTTAATTTAAAAATATTTACTATCCTACACCTTCCAAAAATATAATGAAAAGATCTGTATACTAATGAGAAAGGAAGAGAAAGCATCTTGTTTCAGTTTCAACTATCTTAAAAGAGATAGTTATTAACTTTTAAATGAAAGGACTTGTAGAGGAGACATAAAACCAGAGACAAAAAGAGGTCAATATGAATAAGACATAAAAATTTGGAGTTAAAAAATTACTGTTGTCTATTTCTGAAAATTTGAACATTTAGATTCTTTAAGATTTATTTATTTATTTATTTTAATTTATGAAAATTAAGCAAATAGTTGGTCTGGCTACACCATCATTTTTAAAAAAATTTTTTTTTGAAAGGGAAGGAGAGAGAGATCTTCTATCTACAGGTTCCCTCTCTAAATGACCGCAATGCCAGGGCTGTGACAGGGCAGAGCCAGGAGGCAGGAATACCATCCTAGCCTCCCATGTGTGTAGCAGGGACCCAAGTACTTGGGCCATTATGTGCTGCCTTCTTAGGTGCATTAGCAGGAACTTGGATTGGAAGTGGAGAAGCTAGGACTCAAACCAGCACTGTGATATGGAATGCAAACATTCCAAGTGGCAACTTAACTCTATGCCACAATGCTGACACCCAAACATTTTAATTCTACTAAATTAGTAGTTACTCAATCATTTCAAAATGGAAGTAGTCATTGATACACAGATGTTTCTAACTGGCTTTTATTTATTTAGGGCTACTTCAAACCCATTCCTTATATATGAATAGTTGCTCCAGACTTGACCAAAGGAGTTCCCATCTGTGATTACTGGAGATTTTTATCTAGTCCCCACCTAATGTGTATGAGGGTACTTTGGGAAGTTCGGGTAAAATGGGGTTAAAAGATAAGTTTATACCAAAATTTTAAATCTGTGTATACTTTTTTTTTTTTAAATAATACATGTTTTCCGTGAACTTTTTGAAGACCTCTCATGAAATAGTGTGAAGAGTTTTTCCTTTTGGTCCAGTCTCTTCTACCTTCCAGAAAGGAAAGGGAAGAGTTTAAGAAAAATATTACTGGGAAGATGAAGAGGAAAATATGGGATTAAAGGTTGTGTTTCAGGCCACAGAAATCTCCAGGGGATACATTCAAGTTCAATCAGAAACAGATCTTATAATCAGAAATTGATTTATGAACTTTTAAAAAATATAATACTGATGAGTTGAAAGGTTTATTTATTTATTTTTTTATAATAGTGGTTAGTTGAAAGGATTTAGTCCAGGTTGTGACTCAAAAGTATACTGAGAGGGGCCGGCGCTGTGATGTAGTGGGTAAAGCTGCTGCCTGCAATGCAGGCATCCCATATGGGCGCTGGTTCGAGTCCCAGCTGCTCCACTTCTGATCCATCTCTCTGCTATCACTTGGGAGATGAGTAGAAGATGGCCCAAGTCCTTGGGACCATGAACCCGTGTGGGAGACCCAGAAGTGGATCCTGGCTCCTGGTTCGGACTGGTGCAGCTGCAGCCATTGTGGCCAATTAGTGAGTGAACCAGTGGATGGAAGACCTCTCTCTCTCTCTGCCTCACCTTCTCTCTCTGTGTAGCTCTGACTTTCCAATAAATAAATAAATCTTTTTTTAAAAAAAGTATACTGAGAAGCTGGTCCGAGGTGCAGCAGGTTATGCCACTCTGCAGCACTGGCATTCCATATGGACACCAGTTTGAGTCCTGATGCTCCACTTCCAATCTAGCTCCTTGCTTAGCACCTGGGAAAGCAGCATAATACTGCTCAAGTGCTTGGGCCCCTGCACCCACATGAGAGATCCAGATGAAGCTCCTGACTCCTTACTGCAGCCTGGCCCTGCCCCAGTCATTGCAGCCATTTGGAGAGTAAACCAGCAGATGGAAGATCTCTCTCCTCTCTTCTCTGTCTTTCCCTCTCATGCTGTAAATCTGATTTTCAAACAAACAAATAAATATTTTTTAAGAAAGTACAATGGGAGATTTTGGAGGTTTTATCCACCAACATTTTCATATGTGATTTATTCATCATCATAAAATTTTATGGTAACATTGCAGTTAAACTTGATGAGATCAAAACTAGACAGTTTCAGTTATCATCAAATTATAATTGCTAATTGATTAAAAACTGAGAGTATTAAAAACTGATGATGGTAGGGAAAGTTTTATAGCTCTGATAAATCTTTAAAATCAAAAGGTCATATGGTCTACACCAGGAATCAGGCAGGCCTTAGATGGGTATGGTTAGCAAGTTGGATGTCCAGGCAATGGTTGAGCAACATTAGGGTTGAGGGGGTTGTGTACCTATTATCCTAATGTTTGACAAGCAAGACTAAGTGTGAGACAAGGACCTGATTTGCCTGCTGATTTTCTGACAGAAAATTTAGGTTTTTCATTTCTACCATTATATTAGTGAAATTCTTTACAACTCTGATGAGTTGAAGAGACATTAGTCAGTTTGACCCGGCATTGAGTCTGTTACTGTGAGGAAGCATTTTATTAAATAATAAATAGAGGATTTTCATGTAAATCTTTGAAAACAACTTGTTAGAAATGTCTTATGTCTTTCTTTAAAAATGTGTGTAACTGTGAAGCCAAAAACAAACAAAACCAAACTTGTTACAAAAATTTTTGAAATAAAGTTTTCCTTTCATATGAAATGCTTAAATATATGTTGTTTTTACTTGTAAAATTTGTTAATAATTTCAGTGAATTTTTTTATTCTGTGCTCAAAAAGTTTCTAACTGGTTTTAAAATTAACCAGCTCATTAAAGCATAGTAAAAATACTTATTTTCTTCTAGCAATTTTTATTGCAGAAGACAGTATTTTTCTAATTAAAATTGTTAATAAGCAATTCATTTCTTACCTTGTCAGAAGGTTTGAATGGATTTCCTTGTCCACTAATTCCACCACTGATACTAAATCCAAGGCCAGGATTCTTTTCTATTCTCACGCAAAACTATGTAGAAAACATATTAAAAGATAATGAAATAGCCATCAAAGGTAAATATGTATTTTCAAATAACTTCTCAGTAGAAAGGATATACATTCTCTCAAGTTCTTAGGGTTAGCCTATGTTGCCTTGGTACACAAATGATGGTATAAACTTTGAAAAAGTTTTTATAGGGGTCAGTTATAGTGACAACTAGCTTGAAATTACCTGAGCAAGCACACCTTAGTAAATACTTATTTGTTCTATGTACATGATTAGCAATTTTTTTAAAAAAAATTAAAAATCTTCTATGAGAAGAGAGAGATAGGGAAAGTTTGGGAACAGGTACTACTTACAGTTGGCTAGGAGAAAGAAGTTTTGGTCTATTGCACCAAATATTGTGACTATGACTACACACAGTGATAATGAACTGTGGTTGAAAAAGTTAAAGGAAATATTTTGAATGTTTTCATCATGAAGAAATGATAAATATTTTAGGCGTTGATAAGTTTATCTCAATTTGAATACTACACAATGTAAACATGTGGAAACATCCCACATTACCCTATATATATGTTCAATTTTTGTATGCCAACCAAAGAAAGTTTGTCTTATAAACATTTAAAAATTGTGCATTATCTTATCTATCGACTGTAAATATACATTTATTCAGACTGATTAGAACAGACTGTAAGAAAAAGTGAAAGAAAGCTTTTAAATGTAGAGAGAAAATAGGTCTATTTAAATAAGGAACTTCTGCTTTCTAGTAGAGTAATAAAACTGTCTGCTCAGTAAATCATTCTATTGTTTACAAATATCTAGCATTTTATTTGAGAAAGGGGCCTTAGCTCCAAAGAGGGTAAAAACAGGAAAAATAAAATATTCAGTGAAAAGAGTTTCAGGTCTGCAGTGGCTTCTAGAACAAGAGGTAGGAGTCTCATAAGAGTGAATACTGTGAAGAGGTCTAGTTAAAGAAAGAGGTCATGAATATGGAGAAACATTGTGACATGGAATGGCCAATAAATGTTCAGAACTGTGAGGGTTGACAGTTTGGTTCTAACATTCTGTGTTGTATTGTCTTCTCAATATCTCAAACTACCAATAAAAGCCACGGTTAATACAGAATACAGTTGCCAGCGCTGCGGCTCAATAGGCTAATCCTCTGCCTTGCGGCACCGGCACACCGGGTTCTAGTCCCAGTCGGGGAGCCAGATTCTGTCCCGGTTGCCCCTCTTCCAGGCCAGCTCTCTGCTGTGGCCAGGGAGTGCAGTGGAGGATGGCCCAAGTGCTTGGGCCCTGCACCCCATGGGAGACCAGGAAAAGCACCTGGCTCCTGCCTTCGGATCAGCGCGGTGCGCCGGTTGCAGCGCGCTGGCCGCGGCGGCCATTGGAGGGTGAACCAACGGCAAAGGAAAACCTTTCTCTCTGTCTCTCTCTTCAACGTTCCAGACACCATCTCGCGCCGTGTCAAAAAAAAAAAAAAAAAACAGAATACAAAAAATGTATAGGAATGAAATGGACATTATGTGATATGACTGTCATTTTAGCTCTTGTTTATACTTCTGTGGAATTGTGGTCTTCTTACTTTTTACCTGTTGAATATTATGGCTAGTGGTGAATTAAGCCTGTGAATATAGAGTGGATTAAAATGCTGTCTTTGAAAAAACTGATGAAAGGAAGAGAGGATGAGGGGGAAGGAAGGGAAGTTTGGTTGTTTTCTTGGAGCTGTACCTATGTAATACATGAAATTTTTATATTAATAAAATAATTTAAAAGTCCATTAAACATAAGAGCTGTGCTTTATAGTACTAATAGGTAATGATTGCATTGGGAGTACAGTCCACTTTGGGTTAAGTCTGTTGTAAAGATTATAACAGGTATAAAACAAGGGGTATAAATTAAGGATTCATTAAGAGGGAAATCAGTGCTAGGGGTGACCTACTGAAATGATAACAAACCCAAGAATTCCTGGTGATCCTGAACTAGGGATGTGTGCAGAGCTGTGCTGCAAATGCTAATAATACATGTGAAGTGTGACAAGTTGCCCGCCAGGTGACTGAAAGACTTGGGAGCAATAGGCAGCATACTTTGGTTATATTAAGAAAAAACATTTTATAATTTTTAACCACAAAGCAAGTGCTGGAGCTAAGTGAATACAGTGTTAACACAGGTTAGTAGATAAACTATTAATAGAGTTATAAAAAAATCAAAAGGAAAACATGAGTATATCTTCTGTATTTATATAAATATATACTAGAAAAATTCTTAAAAATGATTGGAAACATTTTCTTTCTTAAATAGCTTAATATTTTTCTCCATAATTCTTGCTTAGCCCAGTAATTTGTACATGAAAAATGTAAATTACCAAAATACTCTCTACAATTTTATTTTCAAGGTGCTTTTAATTTCTACCTCTTAGAGAGTTCAAGACAAACTTAAATCTTATTCTTTACTTCCTCAGTTCATACTGTGAATCACTGGAACTTAGATCACTGAGGTTTGTATCTTTAATGGGACGATCTTTAATTCACGGTCATATTTCATAGTAGTAAATACAATGTTTATTACCTGACTCAATTGCAATGCAAGAGCAAAAAATTATCCACTAATGTTATTTTTATGGTAGAGTCATTAATGGGTAGTTTCTAAATTATGGGTAAATGCAATTACCAATGTAGTTAGTCTACCATAATTCTATTTTAAAGATGCATTTAATTACAACTTCTTCAATTGAGCTAGATGTCTTAAAGCTAGTTTTTATTGGGTGGTAGAAATCCTGGTTTATGGCCGGCGCCGCAGCTCACTAGGCTAATCCTCCGCCTTGCGGCACCGGCACACCGGGTTCTAGTCCCAGTTGGGGCGCCGGATTCTGTCCCGGTTGCCCCTCTTCCAGGCCAGCCCTCTGCTGTGGCCAGGGAGTGCAGTGGAGGATGGCCCAAGTGCTTGGGCCCTGCACCCCATGGGAGACCAGGAGAAGCACCTGGCTCCTGTCATCGGATCAGCGTGGTGCGCCGGCCGTAGCACGCCGGCCGCAGCGGCCATTGGAGGGTGAACCAACAGCAAAGGAAAACCTTTCTCTCTTTCTCTCTCATTGTCACTCTGCCCTGTCGAAAAAATAAATAAAAAAAATAAAAAAAAAAACAAATGAGGAAGGACTCCCTGGTTTTTTAGTAGATTATATTTCCCCCCAATCTATGGCTATGACCTTATAATAGCTTATGGAGCTGAAAGGAATATTTCAGCTTTTTTGAATATAATGTTATCATTTTGTTATTAATTAGAAAATAAGAGTAGTCAAGATGATTAAAATATTTTCTTTTGTGTATTCCCATTTATTTATACAATTCTGATTAAATTATTTAATGTCTGGGTTATATCTTTCTAATGTGTGAATGTCATATAGCACAATTCAATGTGTGGAAGACATATGCACTCCTGCCTCTCTCTAGACCAATATGAAACCTGAAAGGAAACAAATGTGACATATTTCATTTACAAAGAAAATTGCCAAGAGTAGTTTCCAGTCATTCTTTTTCAAGGTAGTGACTACATGAATTTTATATTATTATCAATTTGGAGAGCACTAAAAATCTAAGGGAAATAAATTTCATATATGCCAAGTATATGAAGAACTCTCTCTCTCTCTCTCTCTCTATATATATATATATATATTTGACAGGCAGAGTGGATAGTGAGAGAGAGGAACAGAGAGGAAGGTCTTCCTTTGCCGTTGGTTCACCCTCCAATGGCCGCCATGGTTGGTGCGCTGCCGCCGGCACACCACGCTGATCCGAAGGCAGGAGCCAGGTGCTTCTCCTGGTCTCCCATGAGGTGCAGGGCCCGAGCACTTGGGCCATCCTCCACTGCACTCCCTGGCCACAGCAGAGAGCTGGCCTGGAAGAGGGGCAACCAGGACAGAATCCGGCGCCCTGACCGGGACTAGAACCCGGTGTGCCGGCGCCGCTAGGTGGAGGATTAGCCTATTGAGCCGCGGCGCCGGCCAGAACTCTATATTTTTAATAGTTGAAATAATAAAGATAACATTGTGGCTTTATAAATATGACAAACAAACAAATTCTGATCTGAAGCTAGATGATTCTCAGGCATGATAAGAAAGGGCTAATAGGCTGTGTTGTGACTATTGTGTCTCATAAAGCAAGTCAGAGTACTCATCTTACATATAAAGAGGTTCACCTGCCAAAGAAGCCATAACATGTAAGATGGGAGAACACTTCACCTTCAAGAAAATACCTATTTAGTCTGAAACTAACGAGGATTAGCAGAGAAATCACCTGTTCTAGCAAAAGGTCATGTTTAGGAGACTAATAAGTAGCTTATATAATGAGAATTAGCATTTTAATTTTCTTTTAAGGGAGTAATTGCAAACCATAACAATTTTGGCTGAAAACATAAGCAACAGTCTCACCAACGGTGCCTTTGCTTCTTTAGAGTCTGCTTCCATCATTTGACTCTACTTGATATTTCTTGTCTGTGTTAATCTTGCTCATTAAAGTACTGAGCCTCAAGAGAGACCTTTGTAAGAAAATGGATTGTTAAGCTGCAGCAAGACTCCTGGAGTTCATAATCTAAAATCTGCAGAAGGTGGTATTTTGACTTGTACCTACAATACTCTAAATTCTATAGCAGAAACAAAGGAAATGGCTGCCTATGTGTGTTGTGTGATGCTGTAATTCAGGATTTAGAAGTAGTATTACAGATAGATACCTAGTGTTGCTATAATGAATTGACTTCCTAGTGACCATTTGCTTTCCTAGCAGTATGTTATATAAAGCTTTTAGAGGGAACCTATTGTTTCCATTATCCAAGATCCATTTATTTATTTGGTAGTTACATGAGGAGGTCTTCAAAAATTTTATGGAGAGAAAATGCATTTTATTGAAAAACTATGTATGAATATAAAAATGTTTTTATACTAAAATAGACATCTTTAACTTTTTCCACAAACTTTTTGAAGTACCCTTTACCTTTAGTGTTCTTTGAAGAACCACCCTTAACCCTATCATAAA